CCTCCTGCCGCCTCCCCTCGCTGCCCTCGCGCGTCCCCCCTCCTGCCCCAGCGCCTCTGGCCCACAGCCGCCCACCCCATGGCCTTTGTATTCGAGGCTCCCAGACAACTAGCCCTGTCCTCTCCTTGGCCCTCGGTCTCCGCCTGGCTTCGCCCTCCCTCCTGCCGCCTTTCCTGTCTCTCACCCAGTCTCCATGGTTTCCCTCTCTGTGAGACAGGCTGAGAGAGAGCAGAAGGCAAGAACCCGAACTCCTATATTTTAGTTTCTGTGCTTGCCCTGGCCCCCTTCCCTCCCTCCCCTGGGAGATAAGGACGGTGTGCGCACATGCGTGCGTGTGTGCATCCCCCTGTCCCTCTGCCGGCCTGACCCCTGACCCCTGCCTTTAGAGGGTCCTTATCCGGTACTGGTGGCGCACACCTGTGATCCCAGCACTAGGGAGGCTGAGGCAGGAGGATCGTTGAAAGTTCGAGACCAGCCTGGGCTACAACGTGAGCTCAAGCCCAGTCCGAACTGCATAGTGAGACCCTGGCTCAAAAATAAATAAAGAAAAAAAAAAAATAGAGGGTCCTTAGCTCGAAGTTCAGGCAGGTGCTGCAGGGAAGTCATGGGGTCTCCAGACTCGAGGGGAAATCTTTTTTTTTTTTTTTTTTTTTTTTGGTACTGGGAATCAAACTCACCACCTCTCCCTTGCCAGGCAGGCTCTTGCGCCACTGAGCTATATCCCCGGCCCTTGAGGGGAAATAGTACATGTGGTTGGGTGCATATGGGGCAGGCTCCCGCAGCGCTTATCTGACCCCAAGACAGCTTTGAAGCGGGCATCCCAGTGAGATAAAGGCAAGGATTTGTGCAGGGCAATTTCCTGAGCACCTACTAGGTGCTGGTGGTGTTCTGGAGACATTTCGGGGAGCAGAAGACTCACTTCCGGCCGCGTGGTGCTCAGGGTGTACGCAGGCAGGAGGAGGGGAGAGAAAGCCAGCGAGCAGACTTGTCAGTGTAAGCTGCGGCCCGGGAGCGGCCAGCGCTCTGAAATCGTGCAGAGTAGAAATGGTTGGGGGCTGGACAGGGCAGCCCTCAGCCACAATGGCCTGTGGCCTGTGAGTGGCCTGGAGAGGAGGCACAGACCCAGGCCGAGGGGACAGGGACACAGAGAGGGAAGGAGTTCACAGAGGGGGCTGAGAGGGCAGGGGTCGCCCCTCACCTTCCTGCCCAGGCCCAGAAGCGGCAGGAGGGACAGCGGGGCTGGGTGTGGTAGCCACAGCACTTCCGGGGCGGCCCAGTGAAGGTTGGGGGGGGGACAGGAAGGGACGCCGGCCTAGTCCTCTTCAGGCCCCTGGGCTCCCCTCCCACAGGCTCTCAGGCTCCCTCTGCGGTGTCTGTCCCCGCTGCTCCTTCACGGTCTCTTCTCCCCGCTGTCTCTCCAGCCCTCGGGAGGAAAGCGAACTGCGGCTGGCCCCTGGGCCCCTGGGAGTTGCCGGCCTCCTTAGCCCTGTCTCCGAGCTGCAGGGCAGAGAATGCAGGGCGGGCTGGGGGCTGGGGGCCTGGCCCAGGCTGCGGGCCCCCCCACTGTCCTGCAGGAGGTGCTGGCCCTGTAAGGAAAGGTCTGCGGGGGCTGAGGGGGGCTGATCCCTGAGGTGCACGACCTCCCAGATGGGAGTTTCAGAGCAGAAAATTAATTGAAGTCACTTTTTAATTAAAGATGTAAAGCTCTTCTGCCTGCCCTCCCCCGCCCCCTCAGCTGAGATTCAGGGCGGGACCCAGGGTATCTCTGTGGGGTGGGGGTGCGGAGGCCCCTTGTCTCTGCCGGGCTGACTCTGAGCACGGTGGCCTCGTGGGACGGTTCCAGGCCCGGTGGGGGAGTGGACGGCGGGCTGGGGGTGGGTGGAGGGGCTGCTCTGCCCGGCTCAGAGCTCAGAGCACCCTGCAGCCCCCGCTAGGAGCAGGGCGGGGCCGGGCATAAATCTCTGCGATGAGTGACAGGGGTGCGTCGCTGGGGAGGGGAAAGAGGCTGGGGGCGACCTGGAGGGAGCGGGAGGCGGCGTTGCGACTGTCTGTCACGCGCGCGCGCGCACACACGCACACGCACACACACGCACGTGCGCACACACACACACACAGACGCACACACGCGCGCAGGCCCTGCTGGTCTGCTCCTCCTGAGCCGGCTCCCTCGCTCAGTTCTCAGACCTTTGTCTCCAGGGGACGCAGGTGGCACGGGCCCGGCCGGGAGCGGTGCGCCCGGGGTCTCCCTGCGGGCTCTGGAAGCGGCTTCGGGCCTGTGCTGCCCTCCGCGCGGCTGGGGGTGCACGCGGGCCAGGAGAGGGGCCGCCCTCTGCCGCCCCGGCTGCAGCACGACGGGAAGGCCCCAGGGCGCCCGCCTGGGCAGCACCCTCCTGTCCCACTCGCCTCCCCCTGAGCTTAGGCGCCCCCCAGGAGCCGCTGTCCCGGTCCCCAGAGCCCCAGGACCGGCTCTCTAAGGCCGTGGGGACGGACGCTGCTCAGGGCCCCTCCTCTCCTCCCTTCCTCCTGCCACTCTCTGCCTCGGTTTCCCCTTTGTCCACGGCTCTGGGTCCCTCACCCTGGCGCCTCTGTGCGCTGAGGCTGGGTCTGAGCTCAGGCCGTGGGGCGGGCCCCTCCCCGGCCTCTCTCGATGGCTGGGCCGAGGTCTCCTCCTCCTTTCTCATCTCGGCCTCTTTGTTTTCCGTGCTTTCCGTCTCACCGCGCCTCTGCCCCGACGCCCCGAGTGTCCCTGCACCCCGCCGCCAGGCCTTCAGTGGAGACGCGGCCTGTGCCCGCCCCGCCCCTGCCTGGCCTGCTCCGGGAGAAGGACGCATTCATCTCGGGTCCCCTCCCTCCCGCCCCTGGCCGCTGCCGGGCCATCCATCACAGCCGCCCGGACTCGCGGCTCATTTATCACCGCCGCCCCCTCCCCTCTGCCTGCCCGGCAATCATACCATTCGCCACGGCCGGCAGAGGCCGCGGGAGCACCAGGCCGGGCGGCGCTGTCCCCGCCACCCTCTCCCTGGCTCCGCGGCTGCCCCCGCCCGGTCCTTTCCGTCCGGGTCTCCTCCACTTGCCCCTTCCTCTCCCACGTCTCTCCCTGTCGCTGCCCCCCTCGTCCCCCTCTCTTCCTGACCCCTCCCAGGCGCTCCGTGGCTGCCCCATCTCGACTCGCCACCACCTCCCTGAGGATCTGGCTTCTCTCTCGACAGCTGGGACATCTCTGTCCTCTGTCCCTGTCTCTGCTGTGGGCTTCCGGTTTTATTCCATGGCCCAGCTCCACCTCCCTCCATCCCCTGCTGGCCACAGCTGCCCCTCTCGACCCATCATCCCTGCCGTGGCCCCTGCACCCACGGCAAGGGTCGCACAGGGAGAGGACAGGTGTGCACACAGGGGGGATCAGACAGGGGAGGGCGTTCACGTGGCCTGGGAAGGCGCCGAGGACCTGAAGTTTGTCTTCTCTCCACCAGCTTCATGGGCTCAAAAGTCTTTCCTAGAGTTGTGAATAGTGGCAAATGTTTGTAATCCCAGCACTCTGGGAGGCTGAGGCAGGAGGATCCAAGTTGAAGCCCCACCTGGGCAACTTTGTGGTTTAGCAATTCTAAGTCTAAAAACAAAAAGGGCTGGAGGTGTAGCTCAGTGCAAAGGCCCTGGGTTGAATCCTCAGTACCAGAAAGAAAGAAAAAGTCCTCCCTGAGTCTCCTTCGATCCCTGGGGGGACAAGGGTGGGCTATGGATGAGGTGGAAAGAAGTGACCAGTGCCACACATCTTCCCTCCAGAAGCTGGAGGCAGAAAGCGCCCCTGGCAGCATCTGCCACTGCCCTCCCGAGCACCCCTGGCAGGAGCCCCGCCACCACTGGACAGGAGTCAGTGGACCCGGCCTTACTTGGCCTCTGAGCTCCTCAGGTCCCCAAGGGCACGGCAGGATGGAGACCCTGTCGCCTTTCCCCCGGCATCCGTCCCTGTGTCCCGGGATCGCCTGCCTCACGCTGGCTTCTCCCGAGCTCAGCGGAACACGGTGGCCAGGCAGGGACCAGCTGCCCTCCCGCGATGGCTGGACACTAGGCCAGGCCACAAGGCTCAGGTGTTTGCTCAAAACCAGGCTCAGTCACGCTGTAGGAGTATTTGTATTTTTTATTTTTATTTTTTAACGATTATCAATTTATTAAGACAGCTGCCGGGCTGGGGATTTAGCGAAGCGGCACAGCGCCTGCCTGGCAAGCGCAAGGTCGTGAGTTCGATTCCAGGTACCAGAAGAAAAACAAAACAAACAAACAAAAATAAAACAGCTGCCTTAGGCATCTGCCATAGTGACTTCAGCCGCTACTCCTGGCTCCTTACCGAAGGGAGTAATCCGTTTAACAACCTCAGAAGCACTGTGCAAATCAATGAGTCGCTTGTGGATTCTCATCTGGAAAGGATGCCGCTTCTTAGACCCTTCCCTACAGGGCGTTTCTCTTGTAGTGAGTCTCAGGGTCTTAGCAGGCATGGAACGGGGCCTTTCACTTTGAGATTCTTTTCCTGTGCACCTCTGACCAAGTCAGCACACAGCTTTTCCAGCGATTTCACGTCGCGGCTGGCGAGGTAATCCAAACGCGGTGAGTTGCCACCTCGGGTTCCACGGGTGTTTTCCCAGTATCTTTTTGTTTGTTTGTTTGTTTGTTTGTTTTCCGGTACCAGGAATCGAACTTACGACCTCACGCTTGCCAGGCAGGCGCTGTGCCGCTGAGCTAAATCCCCAGCCCCTCCCAGTATCTTTAAACACGGCCGCTGCGGTGCAGCTTCCTCCGCGGTCACGTCAGCCCCGAGCTGAGCCCTGGCTGGCGCGCAGCACTCCGGCTGGGCTGGGCCTGGGGACCTGGTGGCCGCCGTCAAGTCTGCACGGCCCCTCTGAAGCCCGCAGCTGCTCCGCGCCCACCCTCCGGTCTGCACCTGTTCAGATGCAGGCGTGCCTCGTCCCTTGTGTACGGTGGCCTTGCTCCCTCCCATCCGCGCCCTTCCCGCTGTGGGGCCCGGGGCAGTTGCGTCACCTCTCGGAGCCCTTCCGGCCCTGGGAGCCGGCGACGCAGGGCTGGCAGCGGACTGAGCGCTGGAGCGGCGGGGTCCCCGCCAGCTCTGTGGTCACCGTTTGGTGACCTATGTTATCTCCGCTGCTGGTTTCACCCTTGTGCTCAGGGCCTCCTGCACGACCGCCCTCCCCACCCTGGGGACAAAGCCCGTCCCGCGCTCTCGTCCACATCGCCTCTTCCACAGGGCCCGCTGACTCGGTTTCCCCACCCGCTTCCCGCTCACCCGGGTCAGCCTGATTCTGCCCCACCCGCTCCACCAGGCGGCTCCCCCAGGTCCACCGCTCCTGCCCGGGCCGGGTCCTGCACACCCTCTTCTCTCGATTTCTCCGTTCCTGTCTCCCGCTTCCTCCTCCGGCTTTAACTCTCCTGCTGTCCACACCGCCTGCACGTTGGTCGCCTCGAGGCGCTTCCGTGTCCCACGCTCCCCGGGCAGTCTGTCTCTCCGCTCACCCCGCGACCCGTGACTCCTGCGCCCCCTGCTGCTCTTCCTAGGCACTGCGTCTCCCCCTCGTCCCCACGCCTGCTCCCTCCTTAATGGGCCTTGCACAGGCTGCTTCTGGACTACTCCTTTATCTCCCTCACAGCCCCCGCCCTTTTTTTGGTGCTACTGGGGATTATCGGACCCAAGGCCTTCGGTCTGAGCTACATCCCCAGCTTTTTTATTTTTTAAAAGTCTCACTAAGTTTCTAAATTGCCCAGTCTGGGCTTGAATTTGGGATTCTCCTGCCTCAGCCTCCCAGACTGCTGGAATTACAGGCTTGCGCCGCTGCACCTGGCTCCGCCTCTTTCTTTTGAAGACACCACCGCCCTGCCGGATGCTTTTCCTGGCTCTCTCAGCCGGCCAGATCTCCACCCCTCTTCTCACCTTGTTCTCCCCCAGCTAATCCACCCCTTTCTGCTGTCTGGGTGCCTGCCCCAGCCTCTCCGCTGCTCTCAGACCTCGGAAGACCGCAGGTAGGCAAAGGCTGGTAATATCAACCAGATAAGATCAACTTTAACCCCCTCCAATCCTCCCATTCAGACTCGCGCCCTTACTTCTTAAATGCCAAGCTCCTTAGCGTGGCTGGTAAGGTCTCTTATAATCGAGCCTCTTATGCGCTCTCACTCCTAAACCCCACTCCTCGGGCTTCTGTTAGGCGCTTGAGGGATTCTGCAAAAACCGTGAGCTCGAGCGCCTGCACCACCGCAGGGCAGAGCCCTTGACCCGGCACGAGCGCTGCCCGCCACGCCTAAGCGTGCGTCTAAGTGTTTCAGGATCCTAACAGCGCTGCTGTACGTAGGAAGCTCCGCCGACCCTAGCCCTCTCAGGTTCCTCTGTTTCATTCCCAGGGTGCCCCAGAAGAGGAACAATTAGCGCGGATCAATGGGGGCGTGGCTGAGGGCAGCCCCGGGAATGGAGGGGCGTGGCCACCGGGCGCCCCGGACTCTGTGGGCGTGCCGTGCGGGGGACTCTCCAAACGCAGATAACCGGGTTTATTCCACAGTTGCCCACACCCGAGTTAGACCGACTTCACCAGCCCCCTCTTCCCGAGCCCCCACTTCCCACGGGAAGACTTTTCCAGGCAGAATTTCAAAGTTTTATGGCAACTTGTACAGAAATCACAGAGAAGAGACAGTGGCGGAGGCTGAGAGAAGGGGCGTGGTAACGAGGCCGGGCGTCGGGGCGGATGCACAAAGGGACGGTAGAATGCAAAAAACCTGTGGGAAGCAGGAGGTTACGGGGGTGGCAGGGTCCTCCCGGGGTTGCAAGGAGTGGACAGCACCCCCCGCTCCCCAGGCGGTGTCCTTTAGGCAGGAAACATCGACAGTAAGAAAATGCAGACGGCCTACCGGCAGACGGCGGCCCTCAAAGTTAAAAACGCTCACCCCGCCCCGGCCCGCCCCCCGCCCGCGCCCCCCAACAGGCAGAGATGTGGCAGCATTTGCTGGCTTGTAGCGTCGGTCCTCGGGGACCCTCGGGCTCCTCCTCGAGGGTCCTGCCCGGATTGGCTGGCACTGAGGGCGAAATGAGCCTCCGAGGCTGTCCGGGGAGACTCCCGGGTGTCTCCCCACAGCCGGTCCGCAAGGCTGAGGGGGTCTGCTGCCCTCTCGAAAGCAAAGTCCGTCACCCCTTCCCACGACATGCACCCACCCGCGTCCCCTCCCCGCACACACTATGTACACGCACGCAGAACCTCCCTCCAGGCGCGGGGCTCGCAGAGGTAGTGGAGGGCAACAGGGGCGCTGGAATGTGAGAAGTTGCGGGTCCCAGACGTGCCTCCTCCAGCGAGCCTCGGTTCCCGCGTCTGAAGTGCAAGCAGCGGGGGAGCTGTGCGTCCCCGCGCACCCCCGCTGGTCCTCCCCGGGCCTGGGCGGGGCTCCCTGAGGGTGGGGCAGGGCTGAGGTCCGTGCGCCCGGGGCCGGGGAGAGGCCCTCGGTGTCGCCAGGGGAGGGGAGACCTCGGGGAGTGTCCGGCGAACGGGGCGGGGTCTGGGGGTGGGCCTTTCCCCAGGGCCGAGGCCGGCGCGGGCCTGAGTGCCCGGGAAGCGGCTCCCCGGGCGGGGCGGGCGGGATCTCGGCAGGAGAAGGCCGACCCGGAGCTGCGTCCGGGCGAGGCTGAGTCCGCGCGGGCCTAGAAGCCGCGGATGTGGCAGTACGCCTCGAGGCTGGCGAAGAGGATGTAGAGGAACCAGAGGCCCAGGAAGAGCGCGGTGGTGGCGAGCTTGGGCCCGCGCGGGCCGCCCAGCTCGCCGCCGATGTGCGGCCGGCGCCGGTACAGCAGCACTGCGATGCCCACGAAGGCGAAGACGGTGAAGAGCGTGACCGAGAAGGCCAGCGTGCCGGTGCGCACCTCGAAGGGCCGGCCCTGCACCGCCCAGTACACGGCGGCCACCGACCAGGCCACCCCCAGGCCCAGGAACACATTCACCGCGTTGGAGCCCGTCACGTTGCCGATGGACGCGTCCGCGCACTGGTCCTGCAGCGCCGCCACCTTGCTGGCGAACGTGTCTGTGGGGACACGGAATGCGCTCAGGACTCCGCACGACCAGCACCCGCTCTGTGTGGGGCAGGTCTGCCTGGAGCGCGCGCCACTGCTGTGTTTTTAATTTTTGAGATAGGGTCTTGCTGCGTAGTTCAGGCTGGCCTTGAACTCACTATGTAGCCCAGGCTGGCCTCGAACTCAGTGATCCTCCTGCCTCAGCCTCCTGAGTGCTGGGATTACAGGTGCTCCTCTGTGCCCAGCTAGTGCCTCTTTTAAGCAGACTAGCACGGCTCCATGAGTCACAGTCTTTTTCTTGGGGAGCTGCCCCGCTTCATCCACCCCTCTACCCGGTGTCTCCGGACGCCCACCTCTTTCTGTGTGACTGGACTGTGTTCAGCTGGCTCCCTGCCAACATTCTGTGAGTTTTGCTTTTTTGCCTTGTAGTACTAGAGACTGAACCCAGGGCCTTCACACGGAGCTGTATCCCCTGCCATTTTTGGTTTTGAGACAGGGTCTCACTAAGTTGCCCAGGCAGAAGTGGAACTTTGCCATCCTCCCGCCTCAGCGTCCCATGAGCTGAGATTACAGGTGTGTAGATAGCAAGTAGAGTATATCACGGCCTGCTCCACGTCTGGCTTGTACTGCTCCCACCACTTTAGTGCTAAGGGACATTCCATCCACTTGGTTTGGGGCAGGATTCATTTCACATATTGCACCCACAAGACCCCTTCCTAGCTTCTTTTCCGCACCCTGACATGTTTCTCAGACATTCTTCCCTTATGTGGCCCCTCCCGAGACCCTGACCCAAGAAGCGGTCTTCAGGGAGTTACCGGGTATGGAGGTGCCCAGGGCCACGAAGACAACTGCATTGACAGAGTCCTTGAGGCCCACGGTGCATCCGAAGTGGGAGGCGAGGTCCCCGATGAGGGCGGTGAGCAGGCCGATGACCAGGATGCAGACGCCGAAGCAGGCCCAGCCGTGGCAGTACTCGGTGGGCGGCACGCAGGCGAACAGCACCTTCCAGAACACCGTCAGGAAGTGCATCACGTAGTCAAAGCAGGACGGCAGCCGCTCCTCCCGGGACCCGTCCTCTTCCTCCTCCTCATCCCCTGTGGGCACACGACCCAGCTGGGGCACAAACCCGTGCTTCCTTCCTCACCTACACAGGCCCCGTTTTATTTCATTTCCAGATAGTGAGTCCCACAAAACTTTGTTTTCCCAAAATCCTCTGCCGCTAGGTGTGGCCGTGCCAGCAGCTACGAAGAGTTACTTTCCCAGAATCCCTTGCAGCTAGTAGAGTATATAGGCCAGGTAACAATACTTTCCCAGAACCTCTTGAATCTGAAGGAGGCCATAGGTAGCCTGCTAAAAATACCCAGCTTCGCAAGATCTCTGGCTGCTAGGGATGGCCGTATAGCATCCTAACTGAAACTATTCCTCTTCCTAGAAGCCTTTACCACTACCCAAAGCCATGTCCACAGGTATAAACAGTCGCTCCTCAGATTCATTGCAGCTGACTGTGGCCACATACTTAGCTAAATGTATTCACTTTCCCAGGATCTCCTGTACAAGGAAGAAATATAAACCCAGCTAAAAATTAGTCACTTACCCACAGTCCCTTGAGGCTAGCAATAGCCATGTCCTCAGATAAATATATTCATTTTCCCAGAGTTCTTTGCAGCTTGCAGTGCTAAATATACGCCTTCCCAGAATGCCTTGCAACACTAGCCATCTCACCCAGGCTGGCACTGAGACCTAAACAGACGGTGGTGGAGGCTGTGGCTTTCCTGCTGTGGCACTGTGCAGGGCTGTGTCTTCTGAGTTTTGTATAGGACAGTATGCCCTGTTGTGGCTCGATTTGGGCTGCATTTGCCCTGCAGCAAGTTGTGTGATGGGAAAACACAAATGAAATGCCCTGGTAGGTTCTGAGTTCGATCCCCATACCAAAAAAAAAAAAAAAAAAAAAAAAAAAATCACACAGTTCAACTTAGCCGGGTGTGGTGGCACACGCCTGTAATCCCAGCACTCAGGAGGCTGAGGCAGGAGGATCGCTGTGATTTCGAGGCCAACCTGGGCTACAAAGTGAGGTCAAGTCCAGCTGGAGCTACATAGTGAGACCCTGTCTCAAAAAGACAAAAAGAAAAGAAAAGCCGGGGGGGCGGGGGGAATGCCCTGGCAACCTCACCTAAGCTGAGAAACACAGGGTGGCACATGGAATGCAGCAGTGTCAGATAGCCCAGCGTCACATGTGGATGGACGCTGATAAGAAGCATCCCTGGCCCTGACCAGTCACGCGAGCAACTCAAGCAGCGAGCAGAGGACAGCTGTGGCGTGGAGGCAGGGAGAGGCTAATGGATTCAGGAACTCAGTTCATGTATTGCCTCCCCATGTGTCTCCTAGCCATTTGGAATAAGTGTCTGAATTTGTAAATGCTTAACCAAGGGCTCTGCGGATTCCGCATGCTGCATCTCACACAATCAGGTGGCTCCTACCACACCAAGTAAAATGAAGTTAGAAACTAAAGTTAGGGACTTCAGCTCAGCAGGCACTGCCCCTTCTTTATGCTTGGAATGTGGGCTTGACACCTGGAGCTGTGGCAGCCATTTTGCAACCACGAGGGCAAAAGCTGAGAGTAGGAAGGCAAAACAAAGAGCTGCGGGAGCATTTAACGCCATCACTGGGTTACTACACCAGCTCACAACTACAGATTTTTCCATGAGAAAAAGAAACATCAGTGTGCTTGGGCCACTTGCACTTTTTGGTTGTTTGCTGCTGAACTTGTCCCTAATGGATCGGAATCCACAGTGCACAGGCCAGGGTCAGGGCAGAGGCCGTGCTCCCTGGGGACTTGTCACTACCTCACAGGCTTTTCCCTGCACTGGCTCCCAACGACCCTCAGCCTGAACTGACCTTGGCCTGGTACTGCACCTCTCTCCTCAGCCCTCCCCGAAAGGCCTGTACCTCGCACTTCCAGATGTGCTCCCCGCCCCCCGCGTTGTCCTTCCTGGAGATTGACAGCTGGCCTCATCTGAAGACACACGGGCACCTTCTCCTCCTCCGGAAGCCCCTCTGGCCTCCAGGCTGCGCCAGGCACCCCATCTGGGCTCGCCTTGGGGTCCTCCAGCCCAGCCCTGCCGCCCACGGTCTGTCACTGTCTTGTAACATACCTGTCTCTGCCACAGGACAGGGCCAGGGCAGTCTCGGTCACTTCTGTGTCCCCAGCAATGTCCCGCGACAGAGCTGGGCCCACCGGATCACTCAGAAATATGCCGTGACTTCCAGGGGCGACGCCTCCCGGCTCTGGAAGGCCCAGGAGCTCTGCTGCCTCCAGCTGCACCCGCGCCTCCCCCACCCCGAGGCCTAGTTTCTTTGGACCCCACGTGTTCGCGTCCCCAGCTGGGCCCTCCGTGATGGAAAGCCGATGTGTGAAGGTCAGATTCCCTGAGCTCCGGCCTTGGTCCCTTTCTGGACTCCTCGTTGGGTTTCAGTCAATCCCTCCTCTCCCTCAAGGCCTCAGTTTCCCCAATCTGTATCACAAGGGATCAGTGTTGGTGTCAAAGATCAAAGCGGCGGTTGCAAGGGTCATCGTGCCTCTGACCACACGGGGGCGCTGCAGATCTGCACCCCGAGCAGGGTGGGGACCAGGCAGGTGGGAAAGAGCCTGGTGCCCTGGTGACGGTCTCCGTGGCAACAGAGGAGCGGGGCTGTGTCTGGGGGGGCCGAGCCATTTCACCCGTTTTCACCCCACCCACCCCTGCCTGATGCCTGGAGAAAACCCAAGCCAGGACCCCTCAACCCAAAGCCAATGCCCTCCCCACCTCGGCCCTGTCTGGGCCACCTTTCTGTGTCTATGTCCACCTCCCCTCCACCCCCTGCCCCTGGTGGCTCGCTGTCCCTTGCCAGTGTGCAGGAATATTCCTTCTGTCCCTGTCCCTTCTCTGCTGTTCTGTACACACCTCTGTGTGCTGGTCTCTCCCCTCTGGTTTTTTGTTTTGTTTTGTTTTGTTTTGTTTTTTGGTCTTTTGAGACAAGGTTTCACTATGCAGTTCAGGCTGGCCTTGAGCTCACTTTGTAGCCCAAGCTGGTCTTGAACTCACAACGATCCTCCTGCCTCAGCCTCCCGAGTGTGTGAATCTCCCCTCTGTGTGTCTGTCTCTCCCGGCACCTGCCCTGTCCTTTCTCTTTGTCACTCTGTCCTTCTTTCCCCGTTCCTCTGTCTGCCTGCTTTTTTCTCCCCTTTTCTCTGTATCTTATTGATTGAACCCAGGGCTTCTGCACTGAGCTATTGCCTCAGCCCTTTTCTATTTTGAGAGTGGGTCTTGATTAATCACCAAGTTGTCCAGGGTCAGCTCAAACTTTTGATCCTCCTGCCTCAGCCTCCCGCAGTGCTGGGATTACAGGCGCATAGCACGCCAGCTCTCCGTCTTTCACCCTTCTCTCTTCTCTCCTTCCTCATCTCTGTCCACTTACCTGCACTGACTGTCACTGCTTCTAAAAACTGCTCCCTCCAGGAATGGGTTCCAATCACCAAGGCCAAGTTCGTTTTCTTGATGAGTTTATCCACCGTGTTCTGGGGGAGAGAGGACGAGGAGGAGCGTCAATGCCCAGGAGCACCCCGGGCGGCTCTAGTCGGGGCACGGGGTTGGGTGTGAGCAGGGCAGGGCTCCTGCGCCGGCCACACTCACACACGCAAGAGGACGGGAGGCACGCGCTGTCCGTGGTGCTGACGCCGGCGCGGGATGACGGCCAGGGCCCCTTGGTGCGCTGCGCCTGAGGTCTTCCGGGCTCCCCGCTTCCTGGCCCCTCCCCATGGAAATGCCCAGGCCAGACTCCCGGAAGCTGAGGCACCAGCGAGTCACCTTAAAGTCATAGGACTCCTCGATGATGACCTCCAGCCGGCAGTTCTCCCCAAGAACCGGCTTGCCCATCTCTGCTATCCTGCGAGCCTCCTCCTCCTCGGCCGTCAGCTTCCTGTCCCCATCCCCTGCAGCACGAGGGGTGGGGTTAGACTCCCAGGAGGCCGACCCACCGGGCCTGGGGTGCTCTTACTACTGTCCCTTCAATAAAACCCTGCTTGTCCTCTGGGAGGCCTCCCCGGTGATCCCTCCCAGCTCCATATGACCACCCTCTCCTTCAAGCCCCTTGAAGTTCAGTTGGTGGGGCCAGGGTTCACATGGTGGAGGCTGTGTGACCTCTCTGTGCCTCAGTTTTTACATCTGTGAGATGGGCACAAGAATAACACCTACCTCATAAGATAGTGTGAGAGTTAAATAATCTTATTCATGTGAAGTGCTTAGCACAGGGCCTGGCACACATAAATATCCAATAAGTGTTACTTTCTTATTATTATCACCACCCTTGAGGGAGGACTCCAGGTTTCTACATCCAAGCTTTCAAAAGATTCTAGGGTGTGTTTGAGGTGCTCGGGAGAAGAGGGAGATACCCAATTTGAGTGCAGACCTTGGACTCAGGCCCACCTACACCCTCACCCTAACATCACGTAGCTCCCCAAACACTTTGGCTCTTCAAACCCAGCTCCAGCTCTGGTGCCCAACCCCAAGCCCGGTTCTACCTGTGGCCCTGAATAACTCCATCGCCAACCTTGCCTTCAACCCCATCCTAACCCTAAGTCCCCATCCCAATTCTAAGCACCATAATCTAGCCCCTCGGTAACCCCAAGCCCAGTCCCAAACTCTAACCCCAGACCGCACTGCAGTCACACACGACCCCAAACCTCAGTCCCAATTCCCAACCCGAGAACCATCAATAACAGAGAACTTGACTGTATGGCAGAGACTGCGGTGTGTTCACCCAAACCTCCTTTCTTTCCCTCCTGGGCGAACAGCTGAACTACATTTCCCAGCCGTCTTTGCGGCTGGGCTTGGCTTCGTGACTGAGTGACAGCTAGCAGAGTGCAGGCAGAAGGGACGGACAGTTGGCCCTCAAAAACCTCCCATGTGTTCCTCCAGACTCCCTTGCCCTGTTTGCCGGATGGAAGCAGGGGGCCAGCAACAGTGCCAGAGCTCCGTGGCACCATGCAGCCGCATGGAATAGCCACATGGCCGAGGAAAGCCACCCCCCAACAGGGACTCTCAGAAAACTCTGAGCGAGAAATAACTTGTGTTGTATGAAGCCCCGAGGCCTATGTGCTGCAGCAGCTTGTATCACTTACCCTACGGAACACAGTTTAACCCTGATCCTAACTGTAAACTCTACTTCTTATCTGGCTCCAAAGCGACTCTGGTGCTATCTGCAGGACGTCCTAATCTCTCACCCCACCCCCTCAAGATCTGTGACACCAAACTCCAGCTGCACCTTTCACAGAAACTGGGCCCTAGCCCGGCGTGGTGCCGCACACCTGTAATCCCAGCACTCGGGAGGCTGAGGCAGGAGGATCACTGCTAGCTCAAGACCAGCCTGGGCTACAAAGTGAGCTCAAGACCAGCATGAACTGCACAGTGAGACCCTGTCTAAAAGACAAAAAAAAAAAAAAAAAGAAAGCAGGCCCTGATTCTGCTCTGATCTCACCACAGGCCCAGGAAACCACCTCCACTCTAACCTTGACCCCACGGGAACACTGATCTCAAATCCCAGCCCTACCCCGGTCCTGACCAAACCCAAACCTGATTTCCCCTGGTCCCACCACAAACCGAGATCTCATTCTGTGGGGTTCACTTCCCCCAGCTTTGACCACAAGTGCGTTCTTGACCTCCACACCTCTAACGGTGACCCCAACTCCAAGGCCTCATGCCCTCCAGGGCCAGCGGAGCCCCGGCCCCACCCCAAGTCTCCCTCCAGCTCCCCTCCACCCTGCCTCACACCCCACCTGGCCTCTGCCTCCCCCCGCACCCCTCGGGGGCTCCTCCCCTGCGAGCCCGGCGGTGACCCCACTCACCTTGATTGAGGAGCAGAGCTGGGGAGAGACAGAGACAGGGACACAGTGAGATCACTTCCCCAGGAGCGGGCTCAGCTCAGGCGCCCGCCGCTCAGCCCCAGGGCCCCCAACCCTGGACCCCTTTTCTCCCACAGCCTACCCGTCGCCCCTCACCTGAAATCCCTCGCTTAAGCCACTGGGGCTGGCCCAGCTCGATGAAGAAGTTATCCTTCTTCTCGTACTCCTCATCATCCACAATCTTCACCTGGAGAGTTTTCCTGGGTGGGGGGCGAGTGGCGGTGTAAAGCCCCCCCCAGCCCGGACAGCCCCCGGCCGCCCCACTGCGCAGTGCCCGCCCCCGCCCCCCCCACAGCTGCATTCTGCCCTCCCAGCCCCCATGAGGGATCTGTTGCCGTCCCAGACCCAGACACCTCGAGGAGGAGGAAGGGTTCCAAAAGGGAGCCAATCTGAGCTCTTGGAAGCCACAGGCCCAGGCCGCCCCTATCCGTGGAGTCCTGAGTCCAGCTATCCTGGCCACTGTCACCTCCCAGCTGGGCCACTGCTCTCACCTCTCCCCGGACTTGCTGTGGCCTCACCGCCCATGGCCTATGTCCCCACAGCAGCCAGGCTGGACTGGCTCCCTGCACTGCTCCAGATACATGGACAGCTTCCATCTTGCTCAGAACAAAAGCCCACATCTGAGGATGGTACACAGGACTCCATGCAGCCCAGCTGCTCCCCTCCCTTCTCAACACAACAGGGCTGCTTGTGCCGCAGGGCCTTTGCACCGGCTATAGCTGTCACTCTGCCTAGACCACACCTCCCCAGACTCACTTCCTCAAGCCCGTTCTCTCCACACTTCTCCTGAGGTCCGCTTCCGCCCCTTCCGAATGATGAAATCCACTGCCCCTTCCCAGCATCCTTAGCTCTCTTACATTGCTTGGTTTCCTTTTTTTTAATCCCCCCTTCTAATACACCATCTAATATATTTATTTATTTTGTTTACTATTTGCCATTTACTTCTTCACTTTATTTATTTATTTTTGTCTTTTTTTTGGTACTGGGAATCAAACTCAGGACCCTGCACTTGCCAGGCAGGTGCTTGTGCCACTGAGCTACATCCTGGTCCTTTTTCTTGGTCTTTTTGAGACAGGGTCTCACTATGCAGTTCAGGCTGGCCTTGAGCTCACTCTGTAGCCCAGGCTGGTCTCAAACTTGCAACGATCCTCCTGCCTCAGCCTCCCGAGTGCTGGGATTACAGGCGTGCACCACCATGCCCGGCTTTACTTCTTCACTTTAAAATGTAAGCTCCACTGGGCCGGGGATACAGCTCAGCGGCATAAGCACCTGCCTGGCAAGCGCAAGTTGTGAGTTCGATTCCAGGTACCAAAAAATAAATAAATAAATAAATAAATAAAATGTAAGCTCCATTTACATCTTTGTAAGGTCATTCACATTCTTTGCTTTATGTCCCACACCCTGAACGGTGTCTGGCACTTAATATACCCTCCATAAATATTTTGTCAACTGAAATCCATCAGCATGGAAAATCCTCGCCTTCCTGCCCTCTGTCCAGACCACACTGGGAGGGTTAGCCAGGTGCTACTGGCCTTTCTCAGCATCTGTGCTCCCATGGCAACCAGGTATGTTGGGGAACAACTGGGCATCACCTGTCCCATCGGGCACAGAGCCCTGCGAGGGCAGGCCCCAAGCCCAGAGCACCTATGGCTCTGCCGCTAGCAACTCTTTTAGCTGTAGAAGCCACACAGCCCCGCGAGACCTGGCCCCAGCACCCAGCAACACAAACACCAGCCCACACAGTCACCAGGAGAGGAAGCACAGCCAGCCACACCGCCTACGCCCCGCACCATCACACCCTCAGCCATTCCCTATGCGGTGGCAAAACTGCACAGGCCAAAAAAAAAAAAACAAAAAACCAAAACTGCACGGACCAGATGCCTGTTAGCACGACACCCCCACCATAGCCATGGCGACATCGCCAGCCCACAGGCCGCCCAGAGACACCGTGCCCACCCTCCTTCCCTGAGCCTCAGGGTCTGCTTATTCCCTTCCGTGTCTCTGCCCGCGTCTCCGACTCTGTTCCCACCTTCCGGCCCCTCTCTGCCTGTCTCAGCTTCCCCGAGCCTCCACCCCTTACCAGCTCTGACTGTGCCTCGGGCCTGCTCTGCCTCAGTCTCTCCTCTCCTCCCTGCCCCTTTTATCTGTTCTGCCCTCTGCCTCTGCCTCTGAGCGCCCGAAGAGTGGAATCATCGCGATGAGCTCAGTCACGCAGGGATGTCATTCACGGCGGCATCTCGACACGCAAACGTGCACGCGACACGGCGACATCCGCGAAGGCCGGGACACACAGGACGGCCACGTGGGGCGCCAGGCCCCTTCGGCCTCCTGCTGCCAGGGTGTGTAAGATCTCCCGGGCTCGGGCTCGCACAGGCCGCCCCACCAACCCCCGGGCCGGCGCTGTCCGCGGTGCTGAAACTCCGCCGCGGGGCGGGGGGGGGGGGTGGCCGTCCTCACGGACATCCCAGACAGCTGCTGGCACAGTGACACGCTGACACGGTGACGCACATGGCTCCGTCGTGCACTCGCTCGCTGGCAGCGTGACTGACAGGCGGTGACAGGCGCATCACCTGGGGGACCCAGGGGGAGAAACACAACTGGCAGGGAACAGCAGGAGAGACTCGAGCTAGCCGAGGGAAGAACTTCCCGGGGTCTAAGGAAGGAAGCAGCCAGCCCCTCGCTCAGCCTCCTCCCCTCAGGCCTCCTCCCTTTGTCTAAGTTTCCGTCCTGTGTCTGTCTCCTGCTCGGTCTCTGCTTGTCTGTCATGCTGTCTCCCATCGTCCTGTCTCTGGCTCTCCTGTCTGTCGGTCCGTCTGACTCCTCCTGTCTGTGTTGGTCCTGCCCGGGCCTCCGCTCCCACTTGGCTGCTTCGCAGCGCTTGTAATTAGCGCCTGCCGGCCTGTCACAGGAAGGACGTGTTTCCCTAGACGCTAATTAGCCTCCTGTTCTCGGTCTCCGAAGCCACAGCTGGAAGCTGGGACGGGGGCGGGGCGGAGGGTGTCCCAGCCCGGCGCCTCGAGGCTGCAGGCAGGAGGAAAGGGGGTTGGACGAAGGAAAGACTGAAGCGGCAGAAAGACAACTTCCCCTTACCCCCACCTCTAGGTGAAAGCTGTGAGAGGTGAGGCTGGGATCCCCCCAGTTCTCAGTAACCCTAAAACAGGAACCAAGGCAGAGACAGCGATGGAGGCGTAAGCGGAGTCCATGGCTGAGCTATAACGGGAGTGGGAGCGTTAGTCACCGCGGACAGGGAGCCGGAGATTAAGATCCAGAGACCGGCAGAGAGACTGCCCAGGACCCAGAAGCGAGAGCGCGGGAGAGGCACCGAGGAAGGAGGGGCGCGCTCGGGGCGCGGTGGGAGGCGCGTGGGCGGCGGGAGGAGGGAGCAGACGGCCGTGCGGGGGCGGCAGGCAGCGGGCGAGCAAGCGGGAGGCGTCACCGGCATCCGGGCAGGCGGTGGGGGAGCGAGGCTTCCAGGCTGCGGCACCGGGGGAGCGGCTGTGCCAGCGGCCCTGTGCCAGCGACCCTGTGCCAACGGCTCACCTGCGTCGTCCGCGCCCGTGCATCCGTGCGTCTGCCCACCCGACCCCCAGCCCTCCGGAGCCCCGCGCCCCCACGCTCTGCACCATCTTTTCCCTAAGCCTCCACCACCTTCCCGCGATCTCCCGGGGTACCCAGGTTTTCAGCTCTCGCCCACCCTGGCCCTCCTGTTTCGGCAGCCCAGGTCTATTTCCAAGGCCCTACCAGGCCTCATCCATCGCCTTCGGGCTTCCCCTCTCCGCTTCTGCGGGCGGCGCCCCACCTCGCCTGCTGAGCCCCGGGTCCCCCTCCTCGGGCCACGCGCCAACTCATCCAGATATTCACCAGGGCTACACCCCACTCTCCTCAACCCCCACCCCATCTCCTTTCGTCCACCTCCTCCCGTGGCCACCCAGGTCTTCTGGTCACTTGTCTGACCCGGTCTCTCAGCCTAGCCCCACCTCTTTGACTCAGGGTCACGGCCCCACCCACGCCCGCCCATCTCCCAGTCAAACTTCATTTCTCAGCCTTGGCCCACCCTGCCCACGCCCACCCAAGGCACGCCCCGTCTCCACAAAACCCCGCCCCACTATTTACAAAGCCCCGCCCTGTCCCCCCATGCCCTGCCCTCTCCCTCACTCAAACTTCACATCTCAGGTTTGCCCCATCACCAAGACCCCGTCCAGTCCCCAAGGCTCCACCGCGCTCTCCTAGCAAAGTTCCACCTTGGGCACGGCCCCACCCAGCTCCTTCTCTCGGTCAAGAGTCAAATTACTTAGGCCCCACCCACTCACAGCCCCGCCCCTTTCCTTTCAAGCCCCACCTCTCATAGGACCTGCTTGGTCCCGCCCACTCCTAGAGCCCCACCCCCTCCCCAGCAAGCTCCAGTTTCTCAGGTAAGGCCTAGTTTATCTCCGCCCCTCGCCACAGCCCCGCCCCGATCCCTGGCCCCGCCCCGCCACGCGTGCGCAGGCCGCTCACATGGTCTCGTCGTCGCCGAACTCCAGCTCGCCGCACGCGTCCTCGTAGTGCACGCCGCCGCCGCGCGCAGTGCCGTCCACCGTGCGGTAGGGGAGGCGCACGGTGCCGCGCGCGCCCGAGCTGCGCACGACGCGCACGTCCACGGTGCCCATGCACTCGCTCACGTGCAGCAGGCGGTCCTGGAAGGAGAAGATGCCCGCGTGGTCGTCGTCCAGGATGGTGACGGTGGCCAGCAGCGGCGCCACCAACCGCCCCTTGGGCCGCCCGCCGCCGTCGGGCTCGAACATGCCCTGCGCGTCGCCCACGCGCAGGTTGAGCAGCCGCACGAAGAAGTGCTCGTCCTCCTCAAAGATGTCGTCGTCGATGATGCCGATGCGCAGCTCCTTCTGCGTCTCGCCCGGCTTGAACACCAGCGTGCCCTCGCTGGGGAGGGCGAGAGGAGAGGACGTCAGGCCGGTGCCGGGCGCAAGGGTGGGGACGGGGCGGTCCTGGCGGCGGGCGCTCGGCAGGGGCCCGAGGCGCACACCGGCTCTGCGAGGCAGTCTGGTTCGGAAACACCTGGGTTTCCAGAGTGCATTTGTAACTCACGCGGATGCGGGTGCGGACGCATGTGTGTGTGCGCAATCTGCTACTCAGGCCACCTTGAGTAGCGGGGATCTTGGAACTGCCCATGTCGCTCTGATAAAACCTTTCTGTGCTCCCAGGTGCCCCCAGAGAAAGCCTGCACTCTTTATGTGAGTACCATTCATTCATTCAACAAACACTCTCCCAGCTCCTGGGCCCCGAGCTGCGCGGTGCTGGGGACACAGTGGTAACCAGCCTCTGTCCTCATGGGGCGCTTAGCCTCATGGGAAAGCTGTGTCACAGTGACTGACAGTGACTCACTTAGTGGTTGAATTATAGTTCGTTCCTTCACTCACTCAACAAACACAGCATCGGCTGTCCTGCAGGCACAGGTGTAAGCGTCCGGGACACAGCAGTGACACTAGGTTGGGGAGGCCTTTGAGAGAAGGGAGCCGCAGGCAGATCCCCGCAGAAGCTGTCCCGAGAGAAGCAGTGCCGAGCTCCCGAGGCAGGAGCTGGCCCACTGTGTTCATGGGACAGTGGGTGCAGCAGGTGCCTGCAGCAGAGGGAGTGAGGGGCAGGAGACAGCGACAGACCTCCCAGGGCCTCAGTGAGAGTCCTCAGTGCTTTACTCTGAGGAGGTGGGAGCCATGGGAGGCACTGGAGCAGACGAGGGAGGATGCCAGCTTAGGGTCTGCAGCACCTAGAGGGCGTCCAGTGGCACGAATGAGGCTGTAGCATCGGATTAGTCAGGGTGACATGCTGAGGGGACAGGGAATGAGCAGGCACCCCTGGCAGGGCTGCAGAATTGCCAGCCCTGGGAGATGTCACTGACTCTGCAGACCATCATTTCCCGTCTCTCCCAGTCTAGTCTTCACGTGAAGCCCGGCGCCTGTCGGGGCACCTGACCCCGCCCCAGCCTCCTGGCATTGTGTGACGGCTGAGCTAATACAGGGAGATCCGCAGCAAATGTGAGCCAGTGACACTCGCCTATTAATGTTGGAAGCTTAGAATCTGAAGCCTCAACTGGTGTGGTGGTGCATGCCTGCCCGGAACCCCAGTACTTTAGGAGGCTGAGGCAGGGAGATCACAAATTTGAGCCCAGCTGGGGCAATTTAGTGATTTGGGGAGGACCTGTCTCATAAAAGAAAAAAGGGCTAGGGATGTAGCTCAGCGGGAAGGACCTGGCTTCGACTTCTAATACTACTCCCACCCACCCCCACACAAACACACACACACACACACACACACACACACACACACACACACAGACCCAGGATGTTAGAAATTTAAACTATTTTGGTGTGTGTGATACTAGTGATACAGTTTGAACCTGGGCCCTTGCATTGTTACACTGCCAGCCCTTTTTATTTTTTAATTTTGAGGCAGGGTCTCACTTCTCATTAGGTCTCTAAATTATCCAGGCTGGGTTCAAACTGGCCATCCACTTGCCTGCCTCAGCCTCCTAGAGTGCTGAGACTGCAGATGGGTGTCACCGTGCCCAGCAAGGAAATTTAAACTTTTTTTTTTTTTTTCTCTTTTTGAGACAGGGTCTCACTATGCAGCTCACGTGGGCCTTGAGCTCACTTTGTAGCCTAGGCTGGCCTCGAACTTGCAACCGTCCTCCTGCCTCAGCCTTTTGAGTGCTGGGATTACAGGTGTGCGCCACCACACCCGGGGGAAATTTAAATTTAAGGGAAGCAGAATGCAGTGAATTAGTATCACCTCTGCCAAAGATTGAGCACCAAGTTTACCAAACAGTTAACTTGGTATCGCCAGTCACAGACCAGCAGACATCGCTTGCCTTCTGCTATGTGCCTGGGGGAGGGGCCCCTTCCATGGGTCCCTGCCAGGACTGCACGATTTCAGAGTGAGAAGACATCGGACAGACTCGCACCAGGGCAACCGGCCTCCATCTTCAAAAACTCAGGACACAAGGGTCACAGGAAGGTTGAGAGGTGGTCACAACAGAAGGTGACCAAGGATATGTAACAACCAAATGTAATGTGTGGTTCTGGGTAGCGTGGGAGGAGAGGGAAGAGCGACACCGTAGGAAGCCGCAGATGCGAGGACACACGGGATGACGGTCCCTATGTGTGTCACTGCTGTGTCACTGTAGGACTCGTCATTCTCAGGACACACACTCAAGTGTTTCTGGGGGAAGGGCCTGTGACCCACCTCATTGACGGTCACATTCTTTTTTTTTTTTTTGGTTTTGGTTTTTCTCCGGTACCGGGAACCGAACTCATGACCTTGCGCTTGCCAGGCAGGCACTTTTGCCGCTGAGCTAAATCCCCAGCCCCACATTCTTAATATTATTTATTTACTTTTTGAAGCAGGGTCTTGCTAGGTAGTCCAGGCTGGCCTCGAGCTCTCCATCTTCCTGCCTCAGCCTCCCAGAGTGCTGGGATTATAGGTATGCACCACTGCACCTGGCCAATACTATTTTATGTTAAGATGTGAAAAGCACAGCATGGTGGTGCATGCCTGTAATCCTAGCATTCTGGGAGGCTGAGGCAGGAGGATCATAAATTTGAGCAGTTTAGCAAGACCCTGATTTAGAACACAAAAAGGGCTGGGGATGTAGCTGAGTGCAAAGGCCCTGGGTTCAGTCCCCAGTGCCCTCAAACAAGCAAAAGACAGAGAGAACAGGGTGTGAACAGCCCATGGTTCTAATCAGGGTTGTGGGAGTTGGGCCACCTGCCCCTGCAGCTCTTCTGTGGCTATGAGGCTTTCAAAATAAAAAGCTGGGGTGGGGTAGGGATAGCGATGGCTCTAGGGGGCCGGCAGCAGGTCACAGATGGCTCTAGTCACGGGGTTCCTGTTCCAAAACCGGAGGCGAGCTGGGATCACTCGGGGTGGGGGCCTGGCTGGGCAAGGGTTACAATCCCAAAACGTACTACAATCTTAGAATCCCACAGCTGCAGTACTCAGCGTGTGAGTGTCACAGGGCTCCGACGCTCAGAACGTGGGAGCAGCTATGCTGTTTGGGGGCCTCAGAGATCGAGTTTAATTTGGAGAGACTGAGGCCCACAGGGCTATCCTAGCATCAATGGGAGAAGTGCTCCCCTCCTGCAAGGCACCTGTTTCCGTGAGTCAGACATGTCTGCAAAGAGACGTGCAGCAATTTGTTCACACCCAGGAAGTCACAGGGTCCCTTCCATGGGGATGGAGGCTGGTGCATTTGACTGCATATGGGGTGCTGTGTCCCTTCCATGGGATTTGGGCTAAAAGTGCACAACTTGAGTCTAGTTTTAAGGAAGCATTACACAGATTGGGACCTCAGATGTGGTTCCCTCATGCAGTGCACAACCTCAACAACTGCGCTTAGCAGCCTTAACTGTCCAGCTTCCTCTGCTCCTTGGTAAGTGATGCCAAGACTTGAATGCAGATGGGATGGCAGAGTCGCAAGTACCAAGACAGTGAATGCAGCTCCCTCCACGGGGAGAGGTGGGACAGGTGTGGGGCCGGGTTCGGGTGATGGCAGGGCACCTCCGAGGGCGGAAGGCTGCTGGACTGACCGAGCCAGAGGGCCGAAGCCTCAGACACCCCTGCAATGGAGAGAGGTGGCCCCGGGCTTTGAGGTCTTGGCTGAGGTGGCCAGTGTGTGACACGGGAAACTGAGTCCAGCCGGAGAAGGGCTGAAGGGACAGGGAGGGGCCCGGGGCTGCGGCTCGATGGTAGGACCAGGGCTCTGAGGGCCGCTGAGGGCCGCGGGACGTGGCCGGCTCCCCTCTGCACAGCTGGGGCCTTGCTTTAGTTGTCTTCACGGTTCTTGTCACTATCTGCACGTTTGGGGCCCCAGGGGCCGTCCTTCCCAGGGGAGAACAAGGACGTCACGTGCTTTGCCACTGTTCGTTGTCTCTGTCAGACTCATCTCTGGTGCAGAGACACCTGCTAAATGTTGCTCTAACAGGAAACGGGGCTTGAACAGGAATTAATAAAACACACTGTAAAGCTCTACATTGTCAGAGAGTCTGGTCTGGACAGAAGAACTACAATGAACTGGGCGTAGTGGCACATGCCAGTAATTCCAGCACTCGGGAGGCTGAGGCAGGAGGATCGTTGTGAGTTCAAGGCCAGCCTGGACTACAGAGTGAGTTCAAGGCCAGCCTGGACTACAGAGTGAGACCCTGTCTCAAAAAACCACACACTAAAAACAAAACCCCAGACAAAGGCCATGGGAGAGATGGCATGAAGCCCTCCCTGTACTCCCAACACTCTAGGACGCTGAGGCAGGAGGATCGCAAGTTTGAGCCCAGCCTAGGCAATTTAGAGACTTAGTGAGACTCTGTCTCAAAGTATAAAAGGGCTGAGGATGTAGTTCAGTGCTAAGGCCCTGGGTTCAACCTCCAGTACCAGGAAAACGAACAAACGAACAAAAGAACAAAAAAACAAAGGCAGGGGTCAGACTCGATGTAGCAGGTGATAAACACAGGAAAGCCAGGACAGGGAGACAGCACCGTTTCCACAAGGAACAATGAGCACTGCTACAGGCTCGGTGTGAGGTCGGGAGCCTTATCTGTCTCAAATTGGCTACACAGTAGGTGCTCAATAAGTATACTATGGTATGGGGAGGGGCAGCTGTCCTCCCAGGTAACACACAGTACAGGAAGTAGAACAGCGCGGGCCTGGAGGGGGCGGGGGCCATGCACAGAACCCGGATGCTGGGACTGGGGGAGGAACCGTGAGTGGAGTAGGGTTGGTGCTCACGGGGTGCCCCCAAAATGGTATTTACGCCGGGACTCGGGAGGAGACGGGGCGACAGATAGTGACAGAGCCGTGATCCTCAGAGGGCGGGCACACGCGCTGCGCTGCGGCGGTGGCGTGGGTAACACGGCCCAGGCCAGGGCCACCGCGAAGGCCCCGACTGCAATCAACAGGGAGGGCTCGTCTATTGCTCCCCGCAGGGAACGCTCCCCTCGCGCGGGGCGGCACCCAGAGGTGCAGCAGGCACCCAGCAGGCGCTCAACCACGGGTGGATGGGCCAGGTGTGGTGGCACATGTCTGCAGGAACCCAGCCTGGGCAAACTGGCGGCTTAGTGAGATCCTGTTTCAAAACATACCTGACATCCCGGTACCCTGGGATGCTGAGGCAGGAGGATCACAAGCTCGAGCCCAGTCCGGGCAAGTTACTGCTGTGGTGAGACCCTAACTCAAGATGAAAATCTAAAACGAAAAGAGCTGGGGATGCGGCTCAGGGCTACCTAGCATGCACTAGGCCGTGGGTCTCACTGCCGAGTTGCAGTGGTACACGCCTGTATCCCCAGCAGTCTGGGAGGCTGAGGCAGGAGAATCGCAACTTTGAGCCCAGCCTGGCCAAATCTGCTCAAAATAAATACTAAAAATGGCTCGGGGCATAGCTCAGGGCGAAGGCCTGGGTTGGATCCCCGGTCCTGGGGGTGGGATGTCGCGGATGGACGGCGGCGCGGGGCACCCACCTGTACTCGTAGTCGGAGCCCGCCTTGGCCGAGCCGTCCTCGGTGCGGTAGTCCACGTAGAAGGTGCTGTTGCCCTCGCCGCCCTGGCAGGCGACGGAGAGCAGCACGGAGCCGCAGTTCTCCAGGCAGTGGTACAGGCTGGGCTCGAAGAAGATGCGGCTGGCGCCGTCGTCCTCGTCCTCGCCGGCGCCCTCTTGCGGCGCCGCCCTGCGCGACGCGTCCGCCGCGTGCCTCCGCAGCACGTTGCCCGCGCCGGTCATCAGCCGCGTGGCCTGGATGCGGTAGAAGGCGCGGCTCTTCTGCTGGTGCAGCAGCGCGTAGTAGTTGGCGATGCCCACCAGCTGCTCCAGGTCCTTGTCCGGGTGCTTCTGCTTGAGGTCCTTGAGGATCTGGATGACCTCGCGGCGGCTGGCGTCCAGCTCGCGCGCCTCGGCGGGGCCCGGGCCCAGCGCGCCCAGCTCGCCCGGCGCCTCGGCGCCCACGAACGTGCCGTCCAGCTCGATGCTCTTGGGCGGGTCGCCCTCGGCGCCGATGATGATGCCGCTGCGCGGGTCGGTGCGGTAGCGCTTGTACACGTACTTGTAGAAGAGCAGCCGCTTGTCGGCCATCCAGGCGAACACCACGCACACCGGGAAGAAGACGAGCGTCAGCAGCGCCTCCCACACCTGCGGGCCGGAGGGCGCCGTCAGCCGGCCGCCAG